GCATGAGTGTTAATCTAATACGATATGCTAAAAATTTATATATGAAAGGCATTCTCCATTTGCCTAGGTTACAATTTTATCACAACTTGTATCATCATATGAGAATAAATGAGGTCTTATATTACACAGAGTGGATTAAGCCATGTTGTAATGCTGTTACCTCGTCAAAAACATACCTGGAGTTGTGTTTTGTTTCATTCATACATGTTTGAGTAATCCTTTGTTATTAGTCTGTCATCTCCAAAGCTCAAATTCTACCTTGTGATGTCATGAAGTGGCAGTTTTCAAGTTAACGGCTACATTTTACCTTTTCTTTAGTAGGTATAAGCAACTCCAGGGCTGAAATTATCCAAATGACTGTGTATGTAGTGATGGTCCATGGAGTTTAAAATCACAGTGGAGCACTTCCTGTATTACCACATGACATCACAAGGTGGAACAGAGTGTTTTCTGTTTGAGAGAGAAAAACGCAGCCTAAATATGCAGGGTTTGTGTGTTAAATGTGGGAATGAAACAAAACACGACACTGGATATGTTTGTGATGACGAAACAACATTACAACATAAATCAGAAAATTGTGTAATATGGGCCCTTTAAAGTTATACTGTGGAACATTACAGGCAAAGCGATAGAATCTCCACCAGAAAAGTTACATAGTGCAGCTTTAACTATCCCCTTACAGTTTACCTGGACACACTATTGCTTTAGTGGAGTTAAAGGGTCTAAATAAAGCCTGTGTGACGGTCTTAGCCTGATCTGCTTTGTGCTGCTGTCACTGATACAGAGCTCCACTTTAAACAGGCCGCAGGTCAGTTTTTCTGCCTGAGAAAGTACACTGTTTTTGGTACTTTTTACGCTTTGTTATTTGAGCAAAGTGTAAAGAGGAGGTAGAGACATTCATTGGTGGGACATATCTTTAATCTTTGCTTCATGCATCACAGCTCTGTCACTGAGGCTTGGAGAAGTATCTAAACCTTGACCAAAACAATCTTTTTTTTCACTCAAGAATCCCCTACTATAATTTAATTCTTTCACATTTGTTACATCACTTAAAGACGCACTATGTAACTTTTCTGGTGGAACATATGCCACTGCTTGTCTCCGTGGAGATGTTATTGCTTTGCCTAGAATGTTTAACAGTATGGCGCATAGACTGTATAAAAAGTGGACTAAGGGAGTTTGATGTCATTCATAGCGTTCGGCGCCAGTCAAATGAAGCTCACCAAGGCTGGTGGTTATGGGGCAAATTTAAAGCCGAGTTGTATATTAGGAATAGGACTTTATTTATGAACAAATTAGAAAAATAAGATACCAGGATCATGTAGAGCGGAACATTTACAGTAACAGTTACAAAGAGGGGCTATGTTTTTTCAATATAAAGTGAATTAGAGCCAGAGTCAATGGAGCCGGAAGGGCCCCCATGCTCACTTCCTATTTAAAATGCGGCGACAAGCGGGTTAGGCATGTCCATTTATATACAGTCTATGGTATGGCCTTATTAACCTTGAAGAACCTGCATTGTAACTGTTAGCGAGCTTGCCTCTGTACAGATCTCACCTGTAACTGTGTCCTGTGACACATCACCTGCTCCGTAGAGTAGCAAGTTTAATGCCATTTACAACAAACCAATGACCTCTCCGGGGAGATAAGCACTCCACCAGAAAAGTGAACCAATCGCTGCTATTTGGTCATGATGTATGTAATGTGCCGCTAACAGGGCTAACTTGTATATAAAGTTTTTCCCAAATCCCATAGGAAGAAGGACAATAACGTCTTTCCCCTTGATGAAATTCACAAAACGTTCTCTTTATTCTGGCTTTAAATCCTTGATCTCGGGAATCATTAACAACACAGAATGTATGGCTCTTGGCTGATTGACTGGTGCCAGAACTCGCACTTCCAGGGTTTTTGTGAACTGTCTATTGCATTTTGATTTCTGACCTAATCGCTGAAGAGAAATTAAATTGAGCAGAGGCACTAGGTGGCACCAGCCTGGCTAACATAGTGTACCTTTGAGGACAAAATTAGTAGCTATTGAGACTGTGCAGTGACGTCATGCTGGGGGTGTTCTACAAGTATGTCTGTAGCAAAATCAATTAATCAGTTACCATGGTGACACAATACACATAGACAAAAAAGTTTTTAGATAATCTGAAAACGCACCCATTCTTAGTAGCCTATAATTAATACGTGCCTTCATAGTTCTGTTTAGGTGAGAGTGAATAACTGAAAAACTGTTGGCTGATGCTAAGTAGCTTGTAATTGACAGTGAATTATTTCTGGTCAGACTGTGTTAAAATAAAGCTCTGATTAAAGTCTAACGAAGCCTCAGACAGAGCCGTGCCTACAGTTAGCCTCACACCCCCAGGGAATGTTGATGACATCAGCTGCAAAGTATCGATAACCACAGCCTTACCAAACTTTACCCAGGTCACAGAGTTCAAATCACAAGAGAGGGTGCATGCAGAGAGTCTACGGGGACTTTTATTTTTAGAAAGAAGATGGAACAAATATGTGAGTGTGAGAGGAAAACTGTTTAAACATGATAGTGTAATGTTCCATACCTATAAACTCAATTTTGAGCAGCTCTGGCAGCGTGACGGGGTGAAAGAGAAACGGAGAGGAGGAGAGGGAGGGAGAGAAAGAAATGGGAGAGAGGGGAGGGAGATAGAGAGAGGGAGAGTTAAAGAAAGAGGGAGAGAGGGAAGGAGGGGGGAGAGAGAAAGAAAGTATGAGAGAGGGAGAGGGAGAAAGAAAGAGGGGAAAGAGAGAAGAAAGGAAAGAGGGTGACAGAGAATGAGAGAGAGAGAGAGAGAGATTGGGGGAGAAAGAGGGAGCGAGAGCGAAGGAGACAAAGAGAAAGAAAGGGGGCGAGAGAAAAAGAAAAAGAGGTAGAGGCAGAAAGAGGGGAGGGTGGAGAAAGACAGAGGGTCACTGAAACGTGTTGAAGTGTCATTGAATCAGGAGACAAACCTCAAAAACATTTGAAGCAAACAGACAAGGCTCAGCTCTGACCCCCACAGATGCAGCCCACAGTCGTATTATCCATAAAGATGTAATGTTTCCAGGAAATTACATACACAGTGTTTACATCACATACATTCACTATGTGAGTTTATTCACTTGTGCTCATTTAAAATTATGATTAAAAAAAACAAACATTTGCAGAACCTTAATGACCTAACCCAGGGTTCACGTGTCACATTTTAGTGAGTTCACAAACTCTTCAGAATCAGTTTGAACAGCTCCAGCTGAAGTGTTTACATGTGACAGGTCTGACCAATCACAGGGCAGCACTGTGGTTACCCAACCAAAACAACATGGCGATGCCAGCAGACTATTATGTTATTTCTCACTTGAACATTTTGAGTTATGACTTCAAAGCGTTGTTGTGTAAACATATGGCTAATGCTACAGCAGAATATCATGTATGTGGTGATTCAACTCTCAGATCCACCCTTTATTATGATTAGCATTGTTGTATTACGTAACACTTTAACTCGTATGAAGACGGAGTCGCTTGAACATTTCCCTGTTCACAAATAGGAATTTTCACTTCAAGCGGTGTTCCAGAGCATTTTTTCAAAGGTGGCAAGTATCCAAGTTACCATTTTCCTGGGATGCACCATTAGCCTTCAAGGTGCACTGAGTAACATTTGTAGTGGAAGGTCCGCCACCTGCTTATCTCCAGAGAAATGTCATTGCTTTGTCTAGAATGTTGTACAGTATAGATTAAACCGCTATAACAAACAGGTTAGAGGACTACACTACATTACAGTTCAGATCTGTGGAGAGTCGCCCTATTCACAGAAGGAATTATTGTATTTTTAAGCAACTGAAACACAAAAAATGCTAGACTGCTATGTTTAATGTTACACCATGGAACATTCAAGACAAAGCAATAACATCTCCATGAAGACAATCAAGACCCTCCATTGGAAAAGTTGCGCAGTGCACCTTTAATCTTAATCATTTTCTCACATACCAGTCTACAGAATTTCAACGTGATCCTGACTATACCGCTATTGTAAACATCACATGTAAATTTCACCGATCTGGAAACATTGCATCAAATTTAGAAGAAAGGGGTTGTGGAAAAGATCATTTTGTGAACAACTTAAATTTAAAAACAGCAAATAAAAACAAAAAGGTGGAGTGGGCTTCATGCAGGAGACGGAGACAAACAAGAAGCAACATCACATATAGCTAATTTATGTGGAGATAAATACGAAATAAATCAAAATAAAGAGGCAACATGGCCGCTATGATTAAAGCGTGTACATTAAGGACAGTGGATGGGACATAGAATGAGGCTGCTCTGAGTAATGCCTTCAGTTATATCTTGTATTGATCAGCCCTGCTTCAGCGAATATACAAGAGAGCTGCTTATAACCCACAACAAGATTCAGTCTGAAATCAGCTGTATTTGCATAGCCTATGGAAGATCATTCGTTTCAACTGATTTTAAAGTTTAAATACCACAAATTCTCACTTTGAAAATTTTAATGCTGAAAAAATATGTTTGAAGTATTGTTATTCTGAATTTTAGTTGCTGAAATTTTAGGTATACATTTTAAGCCCTCAAATTAAACAGTCAAAATTGAGAATGTAAAATTTGCAGTGAAAAAAAATTGCATTGAAAATCCAAGATGCAAAGGCAAAAGCAATCGATTGTGTGTGGCGGTTTCCTATTGGCCAATCTTATCTGTGGGCGGGGTTTACACTTTAAAAAATCTAGAGCAGTGTCTCATTTCTCTTTCCTCGCTTCCTTCTACCTCGATTCCTCTTCTCGATTCTGCAGGAAATGGGTGAAGAAGCCCCGCCCACAGAGAAGACACATGGAGGGGAGAGGATATAAACTCCTCACTGAGACCAATAAAGTTTGATTATTTTATCAGATGTCTGTCTCCTGAAGCGAGGAGAGGAATCAAGGAGATGGAAGCGAGGAAAGAGAAATGAGACGCGGCCATAGAGATGAGAGGTTTTATTGAGGCTAATTCTGACCAATTTACTGGTTGTTACGAAGTTAGGTCGGATCACTCTGGATCAGTTGCTTAGATCTTTACATCTTGGATCTTTGTAAATTTTTTCACTGCGAATTTACACTCTGAATTTCAACTGTTGAATTTGAGGGCTTGAAATATATATACTTAAAATTTCATCAACTGACATTCAGAATAAAAATAATTCGAACATGTTTTTTCAGAGTCAAACAATACTAAGTGAGAAATTCAGCAGCATTTGAAATTCAAAATGCGATGACACAAGTTATCTTCCATAATAGACCCTTTAAAAGTTTCCAAATTCCGTAAAGGAGGCAACTGGGGACAGGAGTAAATAATAATACATTTGATTTTTATAGCGTCTACTAAGAAGCTTTACATAGCAGTATCCATTCACTCTAATACTCTGTGGTGGTAAGATTCTGTGAAATATTTGGGGTCAGTTTTTATAGTCTGTACTTTTTCTTTGCAGTACTTTTTGGTTATTTTTTTCTATACCATAAGATTTAAAGGTGTATTGTGTAACTTTTCAGGTGGAGTGCCCGTCAAATGCTTGTCTCCATGGAGATGCTTGGAGATTGCTTTGTCTGAAATGTTTGACTGTATGTTACTGAAACCTTTCTATCTTCATGGAGATCAAACCGGACCAAGTTACAGGTCAGATCTGAGGAGAGGCGACCCCGCTCACTGTCAGAATGCCTGTTTTTCTAGGTATTTTTGAGCTATAAAACCATCAGTAATTAAATAATAAATAAACCTGTTTAATTAATGTCATACTGTGGAGCATTCCAGGCAAAGCAATGACATCTCCATAGAAACAAGCAGGTGATGGGCCCCCCCAACCAAAAAGTGACATAGTTCACCTTTAAGCTGCAAAAGTTCAAATTAATACCTTCTGTGAGTCAAGTACTAAAGTGTTTCATTCTGCTATTTGTTTATTGCACAATATTGTAGATGTAGAATAGTTTTTTGCTGTTTAAATCTGCTCTTCGTTTATTTTATCAGTGGCATAAATTAGTTTCTTTATCATTGTTTATTTTCTATACTGACTTCAGTAAAATATCACACTTCAAAATGTGTTATTGTGACAGACCTCCCATTGAGGTACTAACCACGCCTGGCCCTGCTTAGCTTCTGATATCTGAACATAGTGTGATTTTAGTGGAGAAACTCAGAAATCATAAAATATTAACTTAAGTTGAAAGATAGTTTATCTTAGTATTTAGATCTGAGGTCAGTTAGAAGTCTTATATTATGCAAAAACTGACTCTTATGAGCTTTAAGCCTTGTTTGAATGTTGTTACCTCATCAAAAACATACCTGGAGTTGTGTTTTGTTTCATTCACACAAGTTGTTTATTAGTCCATCTACATCTCAGTTCAAAATGCTCTGTTCCACCTTGTGATGTCATGAAGCGGTAGTTTTCAAGTTAACAACTACCTTTTACGTTTTTTTTTTGGTTTTTTTTTTTCAGAAGAGATTGGCAATTCCAGGGCTAAAATCATCCAAATTATTCTAGTGAAGGTGTATGGAGTTTAAAACACAGTGGAGCACTTCCTGTATTACCACATGACATCACAGGGTGGTACAGAGTGTTTGAGCTTTGTGAGAAGAACTCAGCCTAAACATGCAGGTTTGTGTGAATGAAACAAAACACAGCTCCAGGTCTGTTTGTGATGAGAAAACAACATTATGACATAGACCAGAAAATAGCGTAATATGGGTCCTTTAATTATTTTTAGCATATTATGATTTACTTCACCGCCTCCGGTCGCCTCCATTCCGCAATTTTGATCATTCTGATGTCCAAGCATTTTAAAGGGTCTAAAATAATAAAAATAACCATACACTGATTTTGCGACAGTAAAATATAAGGTTTAAACTATAATTATTTGAGAATTGTGCAAGTATCTCACATGCATTTAGACCATAGAGGAGCCAGCGTGTGAGGGAAGTGAGCCTGTCTCTTCTGCATTGTTCATAATAGTTCAAAAATGCATAAAAAGTACAGAAAGCATGCTACATCTGGTCACACAGCAATAGCAGTTTTGAAACATTTAAGGCACTTGTGTTAGCAGACAATACAATGTGCTATAGAAAGTTATGTAATTCAACAGTAGACACAGAGGCAAAGACAAGGACGATGTTATGAAAGATTTATAAGTAAAGCTGGACTAGCTGTTTAAGTTATGGGGTAGATTTCGGTCACCTCTAGAGCTAATAATAAAGATATAATTTGATCAAAATAAAAATAAAAAAGTTCATAATTTCATAAAATAAAGATGGAAAAACTGATACTTTGCAGTGATATCTCGCTGGGGATGTTACCATGGGGACACACTGTGCACATTAGCAAACAGTCAAAAATAAGTTTTAAGAACTCAAGAAATAGATGAGAACATCACATTTTCAAGAGCCTGTGGTCAATATGAGCGCTCATGGTTCTGTTTAAGTGTTTGATTTTCAACACAATAGTAAGTGTGACTAACCGACAAACTGAAAGAGATTTGTTTAAAGGGACAGTCCGGAATTTTGGACATACAGTAGACCTTCATTTCCTCTTGGGCCAGAGTGTTGGAGACGTGTGGAGACACTTTTTAAAATATCCCATCCAGTCCTTGTATTTGCAGAGGTCGCTGGTGCTAGACTAGTGCATGTCAATGGCCATAGTTATCCTGCCACTAAAAACAGTCTTACCCACTCCACAAAACACCCAAAGCAAATCTATTATTACACCAGATATTTTTAAAAAGAGTCTCCACACATCTCCAGCACTCTGGCTCAAGAGGAAATGAGGCCCTGTGTCCAAAATTCCGCTCTGTCCCTTTAACAGCACAAACCAGCTCAGATGTTGTAGTTGCAACTAAATCAGTTCTCTCTGGTCAGATTGTGTTAAAATAAAAGTCAGATTAAAGTCTGTTCTGAGTAACAAAGCTTCAGACGGAGCAGTGCCTTCAGTTAGCATCACACCCCCAGGTATGTTGATGACATCAGCTGCAAAGTATCAATACTGGAATAAGAACAGCTATTGGTTCATAATGTGGGTTAAGGGTTAGCCTAGTCAAAAAATACTATTATGATTAAAGTCCATATGACAGGTTTTCAAGTTTTTCTACTTAGTATAGTCATCACTGCACCATAAAATTCCACCAATTCCAAAGACAATTTATAAAATTTTTTTGAAACATTTACATAAACATTCATTTAACATAATTATGGTGTCATGCTTTTTCTTTATTTATTTTGTGAAATAATATCTACTGTGTACATTAGACAAGCTGTAACCTGTGTTTATAGTTGCTAGGTTACAGTTAGCTCAATGTCCAACCAGAAAATACAATTGTAAACCTGTAAACAAATAGTCAAACCAGATAAAACTGTCAAACCTCTCATATGCACCATGACTTTATCTCTATTAATAATGCATTGTTAAAAGTACTCCAAACTAGAAACAAAGATATCTACGGTCAAAAAGTGTAAAAACAGAAAGATCCACATAGAAACTGGGGAGGAAAGAATACAAAACCCACATTCACAAGATTATCAAATATAACACATGTTGGAATATTAGAAGATATATATCACATTACAGTAGGAACAAGAGGAAGGGAACGTACTGTAAAAGCCAGCCATCACCGAGTTCTGACAGCGATCTCCCGTGTAGTCGTTTGGACACCTGAGGAGACATAGCCAGGACACCGGGTTAGGAGGTAGGAGATAGGAGATAAGAGATAGGAGATATGAGATCGGAGGCAGGAGGTAAGAGGTAGGAGACAGGGGGTATTAGGTAGGTGATAGGAGGTAAGAGGTAGGAGATAGATGGTAGGAGATAGGTGGTAGGAGGTGTGAGGTAGGAGATATAAATGGTAAAAATGGTCACATTTTTCTATAGCGCTTTTCCACCTTCAAGGCACTCAAAGCGCTTTACAACAAGGAACCACTCACCCATTCACACACACATTCATACACCAGTGTACGCAGACACTGTGGGCAAGGTGGGTTAAGTGTCTTGCCCAAGGACACAACGACAGCATTCATCTGTGGGAGCTGGAGTCACACCAGCCAACCTGTGGGTCAGTGGATCTGACCGCTCAACCTGTGATGTTTTTTTTTTTTTTTTTTTTATAAGGTAGAAGTTAGGAAGTAGGAGACAGGATGTAGGAGGTAAGAGGTAGGAGGTTGGAGGTAGGAGATAGGAGGTAGAAGAGGAAGGTAAGAAATAGGAGACAGGAAATAGGAGGAGTTAGGAGACAAGAGCTGAGGATAAATGGTTAGAATGCAAAAGATAGACAAGCAAGAAGAGGTCAGGAAGTACAAAAGGTCACTGGGGTGAAGATTAAAGGTGTATCATGTAACTTTTCTGGTAGTGTGTCAGCTGCCGGCTTCTGTCTGTGAAAATTTTAATGCTTTGCCCGGAATATTCCACAATGTGGCATTAAACTTATCAATCTTGCATTTATTTGATGTTCAAAAACTTGGAGGAGGCTGTGAGAAGGCTTGCCTCTGCACTGCCTAGAATGTTCCACAGTATTAAACTCAGCAGCCATCCACACTAGTACGTCATTTTCGTTGTGGATGCAGTGTTCGTTCACACTGATCCGATGGAAAATGGCTCCAAAGAACAATCTGGAACAATCTGGTGCAGCCAGCTCCCACAAATTCATCTGAGTATAGATCTGATCCGGCACTGTGTGGACACCTGAAACCGCTGATATGCTGATGTAGTTCTATGCACCACAAAATAATTCACCGCCAAAACGTTAAGAGGCTAGAATATATTCATATATACGGTCTATGTGTATAACCTACAGACGTGAAAATTTAACATGAACCATCTCCAACGTGATAGAAGCACAGAACAGATTCACCATTAGCAGAACACCCCTCTATCACAGAAAAAACACATATATAATTCCACTGAGTCGTATCCTTTAGTCCGACAGAAGCTGAACTGCATCAGCACACAATAGCGAGCTGTTTTTTTAGCGCTCAGTTTATGCTAATTATCCATGTGGTTTTAAGTTTTGTTTCTGTTAAACGTAAACAAATGTGCACAAAGCTGTGTGGATAGTGAAGGCTTGCAGACACAGAAACAACGTGTCTGGACTCAGATAGTTTCTGATACAGTGACACGGTGATACATTGATATGGTGATACGGTGATTCGTTTCAGTGTACACGTAACCTTATTTATATCCACAGAGACGACCAGGTGATGCCACCAGGACAAGTTACATTTCAAGTCTGTGAAGAGGCAAGCCCACTCATAATAAGGATCCATAATTAAATGAATGCCATGCTGTGGAATATTCCAGGCAGTGCCATAACTTGTCCATGGAGACAAACGAAAAACTTGACTCATTCATTCGCACATCTGAGTAATCCTTTATTATTAGTCTGTCTACATCTACAAAGCTCAAAATGCTCTGTTCTACCTTGTGATGTCATGAAGCAGTAAGTTTCAAGTTAACAGCTCCATTTACCTTTGTTTAACATCAAAATGATTGTAATGAAGATGTATGGAGTGTAAAAACACAGCCTAAATGTGCAGGATTTGTGTGTTAAACAAGTGAATGAAACAAAACACAACTCCATGTCTGTTTGTGATGAGGAACCAACATTAGAACATAGATCAGAAAATAGTGTGATATAGGCCCTTTCACCTACATTAACCCCATGAAACTAAAACTACACTGTGTTATCAGGCTCCGGGTTTATTCCATGAAGATATAAAAGGCAGCATTTAACATGGATGTGAATGTGACCCTGTTGGACCACAGCTACAGTCTCATATTTGACTGTGACAGGTTTTCCTCCTCCTTTTTCGCACCACCAAAAGAGACAAACTCGCATTTTAAATCAATTACAGCAAAAGAAGGGCCCACTCAGCGATTTCACTGGGTTATAAATAGCTCAGAATAGAGAGAGAGAGAGAGAGAGAGAGAAAGGGAGGAGGAAAGAGGGAGAGAGAGAAGGGAAAAGAGGAGAAAGAGGAGAGAGAGGAGTGAGTTTCATAGTGATATAAGTGAGAGAGAGGACGGAGGGACATTCAGAGAGAGGAGTGAGAGAGCAGGTAGAGAGAGGAGAAAGAAAAAGAGAGAAAGGAGATAGGATGGAGGGAGAAATATAGAGAAGGGAGGGAAGGGGGAGAGAGGAGGATAGGGCAAGAGGGGAGAGAGAGAATAGAGGGAGAGAGGGAAGGAAAAGAAAGAAAAAGGGAAATGGGCTGGAGAGAGAGGAGGGATTTGAAAGAAAGAGGGGGGAGTAGAGAAGAGAGATGAGAGACAGAGAGTGGGAGAGACAGAAAGATAGAAGAAATGTGAAGAGAGCAGGCAGGAGAGAAGAGGAGGGAAGAAATAAAACAGGAAAGAGTGGGGGTGTAGAGAAGAGAGACAAGAGAGAGAGAGAGAGCAAAGAGAGAGAGAGAAAGAAAGACAGAGGAATAGAGAAGAGAAAGAAAGAAAGACAGAGGGAGAGAGAGAGGAGTGCTGTTTTAAACAGTCCATCACGTCTTAAGCTCCTTTGGTTTCTGCTGCTGCTGCGTTTCCTTGACTCTACTTTTCTCTGGGAAGATTCAGTGTTATACTATATATGTCATTTATGTGACATTATACATTGTAATACATGAATTTTTTTATGCTTGCTTACCTAACATGATGAATTACTGTAATGTATTTTAGTTTTTTCCCCCCACATTTTTAGTTGTATTAGTTATAGTAGTAGCATGTAGTAGTAGTACAGGTATGTTCATCAGTTAAGCACAATTTAAGTAATTCAATGTGCAATACCAAACAAGAAGGGTGCATTTAAATAGTAAACAGTAGTACTACTAGTAGCAGTAGTAGTAGCAGTAGTAACAGTAGGAGCAGCAGCAGTAGTAGTAGTGCAGTAGTAGAAGTAGTAGTAGCAGTAGTAGTAGCAGTAGTAACAGCAGCAGCAGCAGCAGTAGTAGTAGTGTAGTAGTAGTAGTAGAAGTAATAGTAGTAGCAGTAGTAACAGCAGTAGTAGCAGTAGTAACAGAAGCAGTAGCAGTAGTAGTAGTAGTAGTAGAAGCAGTAGTAGCAGCAGCAGCAGCAGTAGTAGTAGTGTAGCAACAGTAGTAACAGCAGTAGTAACAGCAGTAGTAGCAGTAGTAAAAGCAGCAGCAGCAGTAGTAGTACTACTACTACTAGTAGTAGTAGTAGTAGTAATAGCAGTAGTAACAGCAGGAGCAGCAGCAGTAGTAGTAGTGTAGTAGTAGTAGTAGTAGCAGTAGCAGTAGTAACAGCAGTAGTAGCAGTAGTAACAGCAGCAGCAGCAGCAGCAGTAGTAGTAGTAAGTAGTAGTAGTAGTAGTAGTAGTAGTGTAGTAGTAGTAGCAGTACTAACAGCACGAACAGCAGCAGCAGTAGAAGTAGTAGTGTAGTAGTAGTAGCAGTAGTAGCAATAGTTGTAGTAGCAGCTTTAAATTCACAATTTACTTTATTTTGGATGATAAAAATGTAGGCATGTTGGGGTGTATTAGCAGTAGTAATAGTAGTATTACATACCCAGTTTACTAATAGTGATATTACTTTATCTCGAATATGTAGCTGTAGAAGCAGTAATAATGGCCCTATATGCAGTTTACTAGTTAATCGACTAATCTAATCTTTTCTTTAGTCGACTACAGCCCTATTGCTGATGCTACCTTTCAATATCTTATGTTTTTTTGCATGTTAAAATGACAAATTACTTTAAACCTTGGCCTTAAAGGGCCCATATTACACCATTTTCTGGTCAATTATAATGTTTCCTCATCACAGACATAGCTGGGGTTCTGTTTTGTTTCATTCACACATAACACACAAATCCTCTTTAGTTCTCTAAAACAGAAAACACTGTTCCACCTCCTCATGTCATGTGGTAATACAGGTAGTGCTCCGGCGATTTCAACCCTAGAATTGCCCATCTCTTCTGAACTAAAGGTAAAATTACTTGTTAATTTGAAACTGCTGCCATCATCATGACATGACATTACAAGGTGGAGCAGAGCATTTTGATCTTTGGAGATGTAGACAGATTAATAATAAAGTGTTACTCAAATGTGTGAATGAAACAAAACACAACTCCAGGTCTGTTTTGAGGAGGTAACAACATTATAACATGTCTTTGTGTACTATAGGACCTCTAAATGTTTTTCAAATGTGCATGTATACAGTACAGACACCCTCTTGGCCGTATCCATGGTAGCGCTGCAGGACCAGAGCAGAGCCTCGTGGTATTTGTAGATTAGATTAGATTAAATGAACTTTATTGATCCGTTAAAGGGGGACCTGGCATTTGCAGCCTATAGCTCTGAATGAGCAGTGTAATGTTTCCTGTTTACCCATACGCTCATTACACTAGAGCACCTGCAGTCTGTACAGCCAACATGGATGCCCCTAACCTTATATTTACTTTATACATTGAACAGTTTATCATTTTACAAGGAAATTATTAAATGTCATGTTTTAAAGGGCCCACATTGTGCCTTATGTTTCTGATCTATGTTATAATTATAATGTTGTTTCCTCATCACAAACAGACCTGGAGCTATGTTCTGTTTCATTCACACACGTTTAACACACAAATCCTGCATATTTAGGCTGAGCTCTTTTCTCAAACGGAAAACACTCTGTTCCACCTTGTGATGTCATGTGATAATCCAGGAAGTGCTCCACTGTATATTTAAACTGCACCTTCACTAGATGATTTGGATGATTTCAGCCATGCAGTTTTCAGTCTCTACTGAACTAAAGCTAAAAGAAGCTTTTCACTTGAAAACTACCACTTCATGACATCACAAGGTGGAGTATTTTGAGCTTTGGAGATGTAGGCAGAGATTTAATGTGGTCTATGTTCAAGTGTGAATGCCTCTTTAAATGCTTAAGAGTCCATTCTTATTATCTGGTCTTATCTTCTGGACTTTGAATATAATTTAAATGACATATAAACTGTGGTGAGCCATCAGAGGGACCATGGGATTTCACTGTTTACATGTCATTTTAAGAATCTTACCACAAAAACTACAAAAATGTTGTAACAATTAGATATGAAGTCTGCATGTACCTGCAGCCACTGATCAACCAAAAACCACTCTTGCTAACATCTGATAATTTTGTTTTGCTTCGTATGTTGGCTCTGCAGCCAACTTTCAATCTTGATGCATCCATCCACAGATCCGTGCTTTCCAAATGTAGTAACCGTCACTGTATTTACACCTCTTAATGTTTCTAATGTGCTCTCCTTAACAACTACCAGAGGGCAGTCAAAGCCTGAGAAGCAACAAAATGTACAAAACAGAGCAACAAATAAACAAACATGGAGGAGTCTACAGTAGTTTTTAGCTCACAACTGTTGGAAAAGAGCCAAGAAAAAATGGGTGAGGAGCATTCATTTGTTTTGCAGTTTGTTCTCGTCACTTTATGAAAAGTTTAGCTTCCACTGTTGATCTGTGTGCACTACTGCCCCCAGAGGTCTATTCATGTACTGTTCTACTGCTAAGATTCCACGTGTTCTGAGGAGACGAACCAAATGACGGACAGAACAACACAGAGGACAAACAGAAGTCTCCATGCATATTTGTATGTGACTAGAACGTTTACGATAAAAAGTCAGAACTAAACCTCAAATGGTCATGCGCGGGTCACATTGGATTATGGAAACAACCCCGAACTGCGCCAATCCCAAATGTCCCTCAGATAATGATGGTGTCTCCTTTAAATTTGTCCCCACCTCTGACCTCAGGCGCTTATAAAAGTCCACAGTTTTGGTTTGAGAATCTGCAGCTCATTTCCATCTCCTGCTCTGGTGTGCACGTTCACTTTGTGCAGTCAGCAACTCACAACAAATCCATCTCTCCTTCAGCCCCGTCCCAAAGCTCTCACATAAAAGAGAGATTATAGAGAATATAGACTGCGAGGGAAAAGCGCAGCACAGAGACAACGCAAAACTGATCCAAACTCAAAGCAAGCAATACACTGAGGAACATTTTACACAATAGTGTACTATTTAGAAATACTTTACTTAAAGGTGCACTGAGTAACATTGGTAGTGGAGAGTCTGCTACCTGCTTGTCTCCATAGAAATGTTATTGCTTTGTTTAGAACATTTCATACTATAGATTAATCCTATTAATCACGAGGGAGACGAGCAGGTTACAGTGCTACGCTACATTATAGTTCAGATCTGTGTAGAGTTGCCCTATTCACTGAGGGAATTATTTTATTTTTGAGCAATAGAAACACCCACAGTGAATAAATGCTAATGGAAATGTTTAAAGTCATACCATGGAACATTCTAGGGAAAGCAATAGCATGTCCATGGAGACAAGCAAGTAGTGGATCCTTCACCAAAAAAGTTGCAATGCACCTTTCAGAATGTATGTTAAACCTGTGTTTTATATACAGTACAAGTTATATTTAAATATACAAGTTATATACAAGTTATATTTAAATTTAAAAGTAAAAGAAATAGGAAAAGGAAATTAATAAAAATTTTGCTTTGGAAAAAAAAGCAAAAACTCAAAAATACTGTTACTAAAAAGACAAGGTGTATTGTTCAACTTTTCTTGGAGAGGGTACACCACATGTTAGTCTCCATGTAGATGTACTTCAGCCTGGAATGTTTCACAGTACAGCATTAAACTTATCTGGAGGAGTGGGACTGCTCACACAAGGATGCATGTTCTTGAAGGTATTTCTGAACAATAAAATCACCTCTAATAAAACAAAGGCTGAATAGACTTTTAATGCCATACTGTGGAACATACCAAGTAAAGAAATAACATCTTCCTAAAGAAAAAAAAATGGCAGACTGGCAATTCAAGGGCTGAAATTATCCAAACGATCAAGTGAAGGTGCATGGAGTTTAAAAACACAGTGGAGCATGTCCTGTATATGTACATCACAAGGTGCAATTGAGTGTTTTCTGTTTGAGAGAAGAACACAGCCTAAATATGCAGGGTTTGTGTGTTAAACGTGTGAATGAAACAAAAACACATCTCCAGGTATATTTGTAATGAGGAAACTACATTATAACATAGATCAAAAGCTATGATTTGGTAAAAGGCTAAAATCACAGCAGTGTAACCCCGCCTGTGGTATTGTGGTGGTGTGAAGGGGGGGTCTTACTTGCAGGAGAGCTGGTTGAGGCCGTGGATGATGTAACAGTCTCCTCCGTTCACGCAGTAGGCCTTCTCTGACTCGTTACAGGCTCTGGTGTAGCTCACTCCAGGAGGGGGGCTGGTGGTGCTCACTGCCAAACACAAACACAAACACAAACACAAACACAAATACAGGCTCAGAATATAAAACAGATTACAGATATTAAAGGTGCACTATGTAAATTTGTGGTTGGGGGTCTGTCACCTGCTTGTTTCTATGGATATGTCATTGCTCTGTCTGGAATCTTCCACAGTATGACTTTAAAAAGTTCTACCGTACATGTTTACTACATGTAGTTTTATGTATTTTAGCATGTTAGAGTGTGTATGTATGTGCGTGTGTGTGTGTGTGTCTGTCTGTCTATCTTGTTTGGGGTAGGGCAGCTGTGGGGGGTGGGTGGGTGAAAGGAAATGAGGGATTGTTTTTAAACACTGTAAAGAACTTTGTGTTACCTTTTTTGCATGAAAGTGCTTTATAAATAAAGTTTGACTGACTGATAGATGTACACTGATAGTACTTACATAGTACACTGATAATGCAGTACTCACACAGATGTACACGCATACTGTAGTACTCACATAGATGTACACTCATACTGTAGTACTACATAGATGCACACTTATACTGTAGTACTACATAGATGTACACTTATACTACAGTACTCACATAGATGTACACTCATACTGTAGTACTCACATAGAGGTACACTCATACTGTAGTACTCACACAGATGTACACAGATACTGTAGTACTCACATAGATGTACACTGATACTGTAGTATTCACATAGATGTACACAGATACTGTAGTACTCACATAGATGTACACTGATGAAGCTGGTGGAGTTTTCTTGTCCGAGGGAGTTTTCTGCAACACAGGTGTAGTTCCCAGAATCCTCCACTCGCACTCGACTGATCTGAAGCTTGGAGTTTTTTCTACACACACAGGAACAGAAAAGAGTTAAGAAAGAGGTTTAGACTTAGACAAAGTTTACTGGGTTTACAAGGAGAATTATTTGAACACAGTAGCTCACACATCACAGTATATTATAATAACAAAGAGTAAATATAATAAGCAATATTCAAAATAAGAGACTGGTGTCAAATAAGGCATAATTATATAAATGTATATGTACAAGTAAAAATAAAATATAGAAATATAGTGATACAAATATATCTCATCTTTATACAAAAGGCTGTAAGGAGAAACAGTGCAAAGATGATATGATGATTGACAGGACATAGGGTTATCTGTTACATAAGGGTGAGTTGCTGTACAGTTGTTTGTGCCTATATAAAGCTGGATTAGTCTGATTTTGTGCTGTTTTTACAGTATATTCTATGAGGGAAAAGTTGAGTACCCCCACGTTTAGGTTTGATATTATGTTGCGTTTGAAGACATTCAAGATTGTTTGGGTAATGCTACTTTCCTTCTCAAAAGGCCAAAACATTTAGTTCCACAGTGTGATGTCATTAAGTGGTAATCCAGGAAGTCTTCACCCGTGTTTTTGAAATGTATCCACACCCTGCTTATGTTTAGCTGAACAATCCTATCTAAAGGTCAATCCACCCACAAAGCCATTCTGCATAAATATACAAAAGAATGATCCAAAACAACATACTACACATATCGTCATGCGATGTACAGTAGTTTTATTAGCTCTATGCATATTGGAAGACTTTGTGTGAATCTTGTTGTAAACTAAGTTCTTTTTTGTAATTAGTGGCAGAACAATTAAATTACAGTATTTTTCAAAGTCACAGCAGATTTAAAGAAGCATGATGAAAAATACAATACAATGTAAAAGTCCCAGGATGTTTGCTTTGACGGCGTGAATAAAATGCTAAAAGGATTTGAAACTATAAGAGAACATCATGACCCCTGCACCACTGTAAATTATCAGTGGGACTTTAGGAAGATGGTATTTGTACGAACTGTGCATAACTCAGAACCTATAATGAAAATGTGCTGTGACAAAAACAACTAAGCAACTCTTAACTTAATGTGCAAAAATTTGGGGCATATAATGTATTATTTGAAAAGTAAAGAGAATATGGTAATGAACATTTAATTTAAAAGGTCCAATATTACACCAAACTGACTCTTCGAGATTTTGTTGTTACTTTATCAAAAACATTATAACATAGATCAGAAATAGTGTAATATTTAAGTTTCAGTGATCATTTCTGTCCCTCCCGAGCCAACTGTCTCGCACAAAGCAGAGTGTGTGGACTTTAAAAACATGGAGGAGCACCACCTCATGACATCAGCTGGTGGGACTGAACTGTCAGAGCTCTTGAAATATGGGCTCTTAAAGTTACATTTTATCTGTTAAAGGTGCACTATGTAACTTTTCAAGTGGGTGTTTGCAACCTGTTGTTATCTCCATGTCAAATGTAAATGCTTTTTCCACAGTATGGCATTAAAGACCTTGAAAACATACATTACACTGTGCACATGGTCATCTCTCCACAGAACTGACCTGTAACTTGACTTGAAATAGTGGTGTCACCTGTTTCTCTATTATATTACGATATATATGAATACTTTAATGGCATACTGTAGAACATTCCAGCAATAACATCTCCATGGATACAAGGTGGCAGGCCCTCCTTCTGAAATGTTACATAATGCAACTTTACTATAATGATATGTGATATATATGGAACTAAACCAGGACTAGAGTGAAGGCAGTCATAGTGAGTAAAAGTGATTGAGCACTGACAGGTATTTAAAATGAAACATAACCCACTGGACATGTTGGACAGGTGAATGAATGAACAAAACAGAAGAGCTCTTAGTGAAATGGAGGCCTAAGCACGCTACACTACTTTACATAAATCAATACAGTCATCTTATTGAAGTACTTATTACACACATGATATTCAAGTTGAGATGACTTTAAAGTGCATTATAGCATGTCCTGACGTGTGTTATTGATAAACTGTCACAAGGGGGACGCAGACAACTTGTCAACTCTGGATTTCAATATATCAATGTAATGCATGTTATTTAAATAATAATAACATCACCACTGTATTAACTGCATATGTAACTTGCAGTTATGCACTTCCACATGTATTATTATTATTATTATTATTATTATATTATTTTATTTTTTTATTATTATTATTTATTTTGTTCTATCTTTATTAGAGGTGCACTTTGTAGCTTTTCTGTGCCTGCCACCAACTTGTTTCCATGGAGATCATATTGCTTGTTATGGAATGTTCCATGACAAAATGTTATTATTGCTAAATAACACTTGCATTCTTATTGTAAGTGAGGTGAACTTGGCCTGATAGCATTACCTTTTTATCTCTAAGAAAAATTAATGTCATACTGTGGAACATTCCAGGAAAAACAGTGACACTTCTATGGAGACAAGCAGGTGGGGGTTGTGAAGCACTGAGATGATTTCAAGATATAATTTCAAATGTATGAATCTGGATTTAATCAATTATTTTATTTAGAACTATATATTTTAAACTACTCAAATAAACTCTATAAATAAAGCTCTTGTCTGGTTCCAATTATGTTAAAACAAAGCACAAATTTAAGTTTAAATGGTGTAACAGCGATTCAAACAGAGCAGTACCTTCAGTTAGCGTCACACCCCTGTGAATTTTGATGACATCAGATGCAAAGTAACTCTCATTTGTGATACTCACTTGTTGGTCTTGATCTTGAGGTCCCGGCCCTTCTGCAGTTCGTGCCCGTCCTTGTACCACCTGAAGCCTGGACTGGGGCTGCCGGCCGCCTCACACTTCAGGTACAATCGCTCGCCCTCTGCCAGGGTCTGCCCGCGCATGGGCCGCAGCCGAGGGGGCGTCGCTATGGAGATACAGGGCAAAGGTCAGACTTCTGTCATCATGTCTTACTGCAGATGTTGCGAAGCACCACATGGGAGTCATCTGTAGCTCAAACTGTGGTTTTATTTCACATCACACACTCTTTTAATTATGCCAGGATGTCATTACCTCTTCAAAAACATACCTGGAGTTCCATTCACACACCTTGTGATGTCATATAGTGGTAGTTTTCAAGTTAACACCTGCCTTTTATTTTTAGTTCAGTAGAGATTGGCAGTTCCAGCACTGAAATTTTCCAAATGATTCTAATAAAGGTGTATGCAGTTTAAAAACACAGTGGAGCATTTCCTGTATTACCACAGAACAGTGTTTTCTATTTGAGATAAAAGCTGAGCCTAAATATGCAGGATTTTTGTGTTAAACATAACATTAAATAAAACACAATCAGCTATGTTTGTGATAAGGAAACAACATGACATAGATCAGAAAATAGCGTAATATGAGCTCTTTAAAATGATTATTTAAAAAGCATCCTTCATTCATTCATGAAAAGCATTTGGTAAACACAGTTAACAAAGAAACTACGTACCATTATCTCAAATTGAAAGCCGATCCATAATTGATGCTCAAATGGGCACTATCTTAAGCTAATGTACTGAACAGGGTTAAACGGGATAACATATATCAATAGTTTAGGTCACTTATGTAAACAGGCTAACGCTAATGCTAATGCTAGGTATTATACGAATGTACAGTTAGCATTAGAGCTAGTTTACTGCCAACTGTAATTAAGACAAAACATTGTTGTTTTCATGTTTATATTAAAGATACCTTACCTTATATGTTTAGTTAATTTTTAATGTGGTTTATAACATAGAGGATTATAACAGAAGTTTAGAAGAAAATTTGCACACTCACCCAAAATCAAAAGTCACTCTAGTCTGAAAATATTTACCACTGTGAAAATGCAACAAAATGATGTACTACTACTACTACTACTACTACTACTACTACTACTACTACTACTACTACTACTACTACAGCAAAAATATAACTTATAACAAAATGTGCTACTACAACTTACAATGCATACAACATACAACTACAACAACTACAAATACTACTACTAGTACAGTTGAATAACATGGACTACATACAGATTTGCAGTACTCCGTGTGTATTGTGGCAGATGTAAATTATACATTGGTTTGAATATTTCATGTGGAGTGAAGCCCCCACAGTCTCAGCTCAGACACAGGAACAGACCGGAGAAAATAAGCAGTGATTTCAATGCTTAAAGGGCCCATATTACACAATTATAATGTTGTTTCCTCATCACAAACATACCTGGAGTGGTGCTTTGTTTCATTCACACATGCTTAACACATAAAACCTGTATTTTAGGCTGAGTTCGTCTCTCAAACTGAAAACACTCTGTTCCACCTTGTGATGTCATGTGGTAATGCAGGAAATGCTACATTGTGTTCTTTAAACTCCATACACTTTCAGTAGAATCATTAGGATGATTTTAGCCCTGGAAATGCCAATCTCTACTGAACTAAATGTAAAAGGGAGCTGTTAAGTTGAAAACTACAGCTTCATGACATCACAAGTTGGAACATTTGGGCTTTGGAGATGTAGACAGACTAATAATAAACTGTTACTCAAACATGTGTGAGTGAAACAAAACACAACTCCAGGTATGTGTGATTATAACATGCTTAAAGCTCACCAGAAATGTGTAATATAGAAACTTTAACGGTACTGTGCCTGATTTTTACCATTTTAAAAACAGAACTAGTTCATTTTAAACAGTTTGCAGTGTACCAAAGTTATTCCTCACATACCTTATACATTCATAGCATACTAATTATTCACTGCACTTAGTTTATAAATGCTTTTCACAGCTTTCAGAGACAAGAGTGAAGTTTTGCCTTCATGGTAATACTAACAACAACTAGCATTCTAAACACACTTCCTAATTATCTGACAAATAAGCACATTATAATTAGATGCAGACAGTACACCGCAGACTTATTTTGACCTCTAGAGCTCAAATACATGGGAAAAATCAGGTTCTGGGCCTTTATGAAATACAATTGCACTTTTCATATTGGCAATATAGAACATTTTCAGGGACACCAAAATAGTCTTTATACTGGTTCATTTGACAAATAAAAAAATTTCTAAGCAGACTTTTGAGAGCAAAAATGAAACAATATGAAACAAAAATGATCACATAAAAAGTTAACAAGAAAAATGTTGTAAACTTACATCTAGCATACAATACAGACAATACACCAGATGCCCTTCCCAACACAACTGGCAATGTGCTATAATTGATATTTTTATGTGCCACCTTCTTCTACTATTCTATTCTGTTATACATGACTTCATTACTAATTTGATTACCTCGATTACCACTAGAATTGCTCCTGTTGTTACTGCAATGCTTAGGACTGTTCAATGAATCACATTTAAAATAGTGATTTCAATTACTATTCTATTCAATTAATGTTGTAATCAAGAATGCAATTAATTACTTTACTGCTGCCACTGCTGTCACTACTACTACTACTACTACTACTACTACACACCTACATACACTTACATACAAGTAAACTGCTACTGCTGCTACTGTTACTTTGACTACTACTACTGCTACTACTACTGCTACTACTGCTGCTACTATTACACCCCTGTACCTACAAAATGTGTATCGTTCAAGATACAGTAAACTGCTACTGCTACTACTACTGCTACTACTACACTTCTACTGCTACTGCTAGTACTGTACTGCTACCACTGTACTTCTACTACTGTAATTACTACTGTACTGCTACTACTACTACTTCTACTACTACTACCTCACAAGGACTCTCTATCTCCTGGTTCAGCCCCCTTGTCACTGAGCCATCTCTGGGCCCTTTCTAGGCCCTCGCTGAGCCTCCTCTGGGCCCTCACTGGGCTCCGTGTCCCTGTGCAGATCAGCTCTGGGTCACAGCTGATGTTCAGACTGTGTTTGGCTCACCTGCCCGTGTGCGTCTGTGAACCTGCAGCAGCCCAGTCCAACACAAGAGCTAAAAATAGAGCTGCTCTGACTCTGCTCCAGGAAATCTGCTTTAGATATGATTTACAGTCACATCACACCAACTCAACACACGTACAGGAGAGAGAGGGAGGGAGGATGGAGAGAGAGAGAGAGGGAGGGAGAAGGGGTGGGGGGAAGAGAGACGAAGAGAGGGAGGGCGAAATAGAAAGATATAGATGAGCGTGGGGAGAGAGAGAGGCAGCAGGAGGAGAGAGCAGAAAGAGGGAGAGGAGTGAGATGGAGAGAGAAAGCGAAAGGTGGAAGGAGGAGAGAGGGTTAGGAGGTGAGGGAGAGTAGAAACAGGGTGAAAGAGGAAGAGAGAGAGTGAAAAAATGGAGAGGGAGACAAAGAGAAACTACCAAGGAGATAGAGAGAAACAGGGGAAGAGGGAGAGAAAAAGAGATGGAGGGAGATAGAGAAAAGCAGAGGGGGGGGTGAAAGATAAATAGAGACAGAGAGAGATACAAGAGAGGGGAATGATGAAGAAAGAGAGAAGAGAGAGAGAGGGTGAGAGAAAAGGGGAACCATATGAATAGAGGAAGAGGAGAGGGAGGAAGAGAGAGAAAACGAAAGAGATCAGAGAGAAAGGGGGGAGGAGTGTCCTGGTGAGGCTAGCTTAGCAATAAGTCAAATTTATTGTTAATTCAATATCTCCAGTGCAATATGAGAGGCACAGAAAGAGCTGCTCTAATGTAGTGGTCTTTGAGGGAGCACCACGTTGCTTTCTCTGTCTAACTACAATCGGACTGTTACAAAACTGCAGGGCTGGAGTCCAAATAGTCCAAATGATGAGTAAAGATGACGCTATTAACATTGTTAACTCCTATCCAGTGATGAAAATAGCTGCCATAGCACAATAAACAATTCGTATGTGTGTGTATTTTTGTTTTAATCATGAAAGGTCCTCAAAATGGCATCTATATGAAAAGGAAGCTTGCTGGTTNCAATATTACACCAAACTGACTCTTCGAGATTTTGTTGTTACTTTATCAAAAACATTATAACATAGATCAGAAATAGTGTAATATTTAAGTTTCAGTGATCATTTCTGTCCCTCCCGAGCCAACTGTCTCGCACAAAGCAGAGTGTGTGGACTTTAAAAACATGGAGGAGCACCACCTCATGACATCAGCTGGTGGGACTGAACTGTCAGAGCTCTTGAAATATGGGCTCTTAAAGTTACATTTTATCTGTTAAAGGTGCACTATGTAACTTTTCAAGTGGGTGTTTGCAACCTGTTGTTATCTCCATGTCAAATGTAAATGCTTTTTCCACAGTATGGCATTAAAGACCTTGAAAACATACATTACACTGTGCACATGGTCATCTCTCCACAGATCTGACCTGTAACTTGACTTGAAATAGTGGTGTCACCTGTTTCTCTATTATATTACGATATATATGAATACTTTAATGGCATACTGTAGAACATTCCAGCAATAACATCTCCATGGATACAAGGTGGCAGGCCCTCCTTCTGAAATGTTACATAATGCAACTTTACTATAATGATATGTGATATATATGGAACTAAACCAGGACTAGAGTGAAGGCAGTCATAGTGAGTAAAAGTGATTGAGCACTGACAGGTATTTAAAATGAAACATAACCCACTGGACATGTTGGACAGGTGAATGAATGAACAAAACAGAAGAGCTCTTAGTGAAATGGAGGCCTAAGCACGCTACACTACTTTACATAAATCAATACAGTCATCTTATTGAAGTACTTATTACACACATGATATTCAAGTTGAGATGACTTTAAAGTGCATTATAGCATGTCCTGACGTGTGTTATTGATAAACTGTCACAAGGGGGACGCAGACAACTTGTCAACTCTGGATTTCAATATATCAATGTAATGCATGTTATTTAAATAATAATAACATCACCACTGTATTAACTGCATATGTAACTTGCAGTTATGCA